TGGATTCCTTGAGGATAGAGTTGAACTCGGGCTTCATAGTTGCAAGAAGAATGATCTGTATAGTGGACATTATTGCAGCTGATGTTGGCAATCCGACCATGACAGCGACAACCATTTTTCTGTGGCACGGTCCAAAGAAGGCAAATACGGCGTTTTCATATAGGGCACGACCCACCCCACCCATGAGGGCCGCAAGCACTATGCCAGCAACGGCAATCTTCTCTGAGTAGATTATGTGCGGCATCATAGAAACAATCAAAAGTTCCATAACCATGAAGATGCTTCCAACTTCGACACGGAACAACAGGGATAGACGTCTGAAGAATGGGCTGAGGTTGATGGGCTGCAGGAGAAGCTGCGCGATTGAGGTGATGACCATATATAAAGTAAGAACCTTATTCCAGAATCCAGGGAAATCGGCCTCCGCCTTCTCGTCGTTCTTGATATACTTGAAATAAGTAAGCATAAATCTTGGTGTTGCGTTGACGGCATTTATTCCCATGATCATACTCATTCCGGCTATAAGACAGGTCAGGAAGAGCATGAACTCACCGACACTCTCGAAGTTCAAAAAGGCCATGTTGCGTTCTTAGTATTATGGAGATGGATGAAGCGAATAGTTGTATGTGTGCTTAGAGAGATTATCTGGACGAAATGACAGAGAGTTTAACACAAACAGTATGATAAAGTGAGGGTTGAGGTACTCTCATCGGTACCCATTCAGCGTACTCACAGAAGATGGGATAGTTGTTGTAGAGTAGTACGTCACATCTGCGACACCAACAGTCGTGTCTCTTTCTTTTTTCAGGTGTACCTGTGTCCGGGTTTCCATGTACACCTTTTGAGTTAAGAGTTGAGAAGCTGAGAACTTAATAAATTTTACTTACTAAAATGAGTAACAACATGACCCGTCCTGTCTATTATTTTTCCATTCTTATTAAAGAGTGTCAAAGTTGTAGTATTGCTTGTGAAACTTGTTTGTGACTCTAGTGGTTTGCACATCATTATTATTACTACGTTCCGCTTACTACATCTTGTTGTAGTATTTTTTTTTAACTTCAGCAAAGATTTTTTTTAGCGTTTATTGTTGTTGGTACGTTCTTGTGAAGTTGTTACATTTTTCCATAGGGAACGTCAATTGATTTGGATTATATCAACGCTGATGGGGTCATGTTTTGTAACCCAAGTTGTGTGTAAGATTATCCATTCCATGTTATCAATATGATGTTTATTGTAGCACTGACAACCTTGTTATTAGTTATAAATTACTAAAAACTATATATATGTAAAATTGAATTATATACACTAATTCGGGTTTGGGGTTACTTTTTTTCACATTATCCAGGATCTTTTTTGTCATTGACACTTTCCATATTATTTCTTTCATTCCGCATATTCGTCTTACCTACATTCTGGTCTATTTTCTGTATAAGGAACCTGCCAAATCTCACTTTGATTAAGAGTTCAAAATATTTGCCGTCATCAGTTTTCGTTTGCACTCTCACATACTCATTTATCCAACGTCATCAATTCATATCAGAAAATCTCAATGATCCGTTGCGTCGGGTGAGTTATTCAGACTTTGGATCACCATTAGAGAAACGGAAGCGACAACAGAAATGATTCTTCGAACATTTTTTCATTAGATTTCCTTGAAAGGTCTGTGAAGGTTACTTTGGAGAAGATGAGATGTCATCATACATGATATTTAGGGGGACGCTAAAGGATAATGAACATCTTTTTCTATTCTGTCACTTAAAAAAAAAGGTAATATTCGTATGACCAAATATAACATTTCCTACTAGAAAACATTATAATTAGCATGTGTTTTGGAGTGCCTAAAATTGTTTCATAGTGAAATTTATTCTTTTTTTTGATTTATTTAGAGATGAAAAGTTAATTTCGAGGATGATTTAAATAGTACTTTCTATTTGATTGTTGTAATTTCCAATTTCTTAGAGTTAATATTGAAGTGACAGCACCCCTCTTGGAGTAGTGAAAGATAGTAAAGAAAGATAACAAATGCAGTAGAAGACTGATAAGGAAAGTGCCAGAGAGAAAGTATATATACTTTAGTCCTTCAAAGCGTGTTTGAGTAAAGGAAGTGACTCATATTGTAACCATGTAGCAGATATGTTACCTACAATACCTGTTTAATTTTGTGTTGATACAATATCAAAATGGATAAACAATGATGACCACAAAGGCATTTTTCCTCCTCTCCTGAACCCGCTAATTGTTTTATTCCGATGCATCACTAATCAATTCGCATACTCTAAAAGGCATCTTTCTCAGCATCATTGAGGTTTCCCATACCGAGAGCAGTGTATTCAACTTCATTAGTACTTTCTCCAAGTTGTCAAAATGATCATCACTGACAGCGGAAAGCACATTCTTCATGTAATCCAGATCCGCTAAAAGTTGCCGTAGCACGATCGACACCTTTTGTTTAAGAAGGGGATCCGTCCTGTCTTCACTGAAGTCGAACTCCACTTGAAGTATTTTATTCTCGACAAAGTCCCCCACAGCCGCGTGGACGAGGTCATCCAGCCAGGATTCTGTTTCCTCCACAAAAAGCGCCTCCAATGTGTCGTTTGCAGCGATAAACGAGGATCCCAAGTCGTGAATCGCGCGCCAATCCACCGCCGCCCCGCGCAGGGCCTCGAGTTTAAGGGGAATCGCCAAAATTGCCTCGCCTAACTCGCGCACCGCCTCACTTGGCGCCGCCTCGACGAGATGGCGGCCTGCCGGATGAAACCAGGCGTGAAAATGACAATAATCCGCCGTTTGCGCGAGGACAGGGGCCAAGATGTGGTCTTTTAAATGCCTTCGCAGTTCCCCCGCGGCGGCTTCGGCGGCGGCAAGGAGTGGACCCCACAATTCTGTGAAAAGAACTCGCGCCGTTCCTGCCGGGAGTTTGCAACCCTTAAAAATGATCTCGCAATCCTTTAAAATGGCCTCGCCATCTTGCCGAAGGGTGCAAAGCCCAGGGCGTAGCCGCATTGCGGTGAAATAAAGTTTACACAAAAGATCCCGGCCGAGGTCCGCTTGCAAAGTTGAGGAAGCCGCCGCGTTGGTTTCGAGGGCGCCTATGAGAAGCTCAGATAGCGACCGATACCACCTTTTCCCGCACAATTCCATCGTTTTTTCAGGAAAAAAACGAACGACATCGCG